TATGCTTTATGCAAACCCTTAAGTGAGTATCACATATTTCTCTAAGATGTTAGTAAGGTTGTCCCGTGTATGTGAACCGATTCCACGAAATTTTGGCTAAAATTCTGAAATGTGTTTTCGACTAGAAATGTTTACTAAAGTGAGGTTAAAAGGTTAATTATCATGGGACACAGTCCTAATATATTTCGGACTCGACAGGATGCCCGCTTTTGAGTGCTCTACATTTTAATCTTCAGTTGAAACCGTGTTTGGCAAAAAATGACTACTTAAATAGCATGCATTTTTACAATGATTTTCGATGGTGCTAAAAATTCAAATATATTTTACAGAAATCTCGAACAAAAATAGGTGTTTTTCAGTCTTTTGATAGAAAATTATATCGCCTTTATATTTCATGCTCGATAAGGGAGTATAATTGGGTTTTAAAAAAGTCTCCTAATTCCCGAATACAGTGAAGCCTAATTAGCCGTTGCGTTAGCGCTTAGGGATTTCAGTCAATAAGTTGTATTTTTTCCCCGTAAAGATAATCACATTTCCTTCTCTGCCCTTAAGAATGTACCACATAGGATCAATAAAATTTTGCAATGGATGCGGACCATGTCGTACATTTTATGAAAAGCAGTGGTAAACAGACAGGTACGATGCCGTATGAATGGACATTGCAAGGTCTTGAAAAATCTTATAATTAGAAACTTTTTCAAAGCCTAACTACAAACCTTTTTCGAGTATAAAATATAAAGGCAGTGTGGTTTTCTGTCTAACGACTGAAAGAAAGCCTGCTTTTGTTCGAATTTTCTGTAAAATATATTCGAGTTTTCAAAACCATCAGCAATCAATGTGAAAAAACGCATGTGGTCATTTATTACTGAGTACGATTTCTACAGGAGATGGAAAAGCAGTGTATTCAAAAGCTGACGTCGTGCCGACTCCGAAATATTATACAATTATGCCGCATAAAAATCAGTTTTGCAACCGCGCTTAAGTAATCCCTCCTAATCGAAAACGCATTTCATAATTTCAGCCAACATTTCATGTGATCGGGAACTCACTGTATGTACTTTATAAGAATCGCTAGTAAACATGCTGATGCGGTACCCCATGAATGGACATCTTACGGATGTAACAATTTTCATATTTACAAACTCTTTCAAAAGTAAACGTTGCTCTCGCTTCAAGCATAAAATTTGGGAATACGTAATTTTCTTATAGGTAGAAAAGAATATTTTGTGGTTGTTTTCTACATAACATATTTAAATTTATAAGGGCATACAAACAAATGGGAAAAATGCACGCTACTTAAGCAATCATTTTTACGGACTGTAGATATTGTCCATGGCCCAAGCATTCATTGAAAAACCTGCATCTTGACATGACTGAAATATCTAAGGATTGTGCTGCACAATAACTAATATAAAAACCCTGCCCTCCGGATCTTTTTGAATCAAAGCATATTTCAGAATTTTAGTCAACATTTTATCGGATAACACATCTTCCGTGCAAATACTGCATCCTTTGGCGTGAATTTCCCCTATAAGTTGCTGCTTCAGCTGCTGACTTTGAGTAGTAATCGGAAAGGCCCGGTGCAATAAGTTCATACTCCCGCCATCGCGTCTACTTTTCAAATAAATCTTTCTTCGAGACTTGCCCTCTTCGTGACAGTAAAGGCTACTTATTTTTGCGAAAAAGGTGTGCACATATTCAAGGCGTCCAACCTCAATATTCTACCATTCCGGAATTCCTAATTTAATTTAAGAGTTTTGCTGAAATTATAAAATGAATGCCATGTCTACCCTACATGTCTTTGCTATCGGATTGTCAAACACGCACGGGTCCTTTGCCGACATAATAAGGTCAACCCACGCCATTGGCCCACACCCCACCCACAAAATATATAAATACGCAAGATGAAAGTGAGTAATCCAGACAAAGAAAATGCTTCAGGCTGCTACCAAGCTAATTCTTTCGTTAGCACTTTGTGAGTGTGCTACCTTTACTGCAATATTGTAATTTAGATCTTAGTGTTTGCATTCTGATTCTTTCATGCTGACGTTTTACAAGCAGCATACGTATGCAAATAATGCGTATCTTATTAACTTAGTCAAAAATACACTTCCTCTTGAAAAATAAGACACCCCTGATCAGCTGTCTAAAAAATCATAGCTCTGAGCATTATGACGGGTATTGTCCTTTCGCGTGCATAGCCACCATCTAGATTCTATATCAGGCGACATAGAGTGAACGAGTTTTAAGGGTGGCTTAGTCGTATACCCGAGATGGACACCGACTGAAATCTGGGAACGCGCCTTGGCGGTATTCCTGAAGCTGATTTAGGCGCATCTGATGAAACGGGCTCATCAGCGGGTACTGAGCGCTCAGCAGACGGGCATTAAAGGCTCGGCAGCGTTCTTTGTGTCCTTGTCTTTCCGTTATAAATGTGTGTGGAAAACTTACGATGATAGGAAATAATAAATATCAGTTTTTCCTTTCAGTCGTCGCGAGTGTACTTGGAGACGGATATGTCCTTGAGCCAACAGACACCCGAATTTACGATCAAGCAAGTGGTTGTGTAGATGTGACTACCGTCGTGCCGGCTAATTTCTCAGTAAGTCCAAATGGTACCCCTTGAAATACTGCCGTTTTGTCCGTAAACGTCTGTTTACGTGTGCCCCAAACAGGGCTAGGTGGATCCCGATAGCGTGCAAAGCATATAGTTATACATTTGTGCAATTCAAAAATACAGAAGAAGGTAGGGCTCTTGGTAGCGAAAGCTACTGATGCTTTAGTAATTCCGTATTCGTGACACCCGCTAACATAAGAAAAAAGCTCAGCTCGGGACAATGAAGGGATCTTTCTCGATAGCAACCTGCTCTCTGCATATCTTTTATTTCCTCAGAAGTAATCCCTAATTTAAAGTAAATCAAGTTACGTTCTTATCTAGCCTGTTTCTTCGGCACATCGTTCCCCCTTTTAATGTACTTAAATATTACTCAGGATGTTAGTTTATGGAGTAAGTAATTGAAGTTGACGCAGGTATATACATGCTCAGACCTCTGTATGTCTAAGAATCATTCACATGCAAATGAATATGCCATTTCAGCGCATACGGTTAGATCAGACGGACTTTGAATGCGAAGGCGACATCTGCTCCAATCATTTCAACTTCAACGAAAACGCCCAGCTGTGGGTTACCCGAGGTAAGAAACAATCGGAGTTGCACACTTTACAGAGGTTTAGAACTTTCAAACTTAAATATTCACCTTCGGGTTGTCTAGAGTTCCTAAACATTGTTGTAGATTATAGTTAATTGAAGCCAGCCAAATGTGAGGACAGACCCAGCCCTTTCGTGTACACGTGTTCAGTACACGAGAAAGCCCAGTGGAATACGCCCTTACGAATGGCGTATTCATCGCATCGTCTTCCCTGATGAAGATATGATTTGCAAACGGGCACATATAGGGTATTTGCCTGCGACCTGTCTGTAAATAGAAGTTAACTGCTAGTGCTATTCACTATCACGATAGTTTGCATTAACAAACTCAATGCACAATATGCTACAGCAGACCACGTAGACTAGAAATAACCAGATAGTTAGGGATAGTGGATGCTTTCATGGCCCTCTTGATAAAATCAAAATCCAATTCCATAAAATACGCTACATACACTTTTGATCTGCTCCCCAAGCTCAAATTCTTTTTCAACTCTAGAACCACTTGGCGAGGCAGCTAGGATCACAGTCCATGTGTGCGACCTTGAACGACATGCCTGGCTTGGATTCGACGTGTCTTCTATGCTGTCTGAGCACAGAGTCGGTTTCCACACCATCTTCTTCTCGCAGGCCGGTTCTTGGTCCATGATTGAAAAGTCGTGTAAGCTCTTCCTTGCCTCAACTACAAGCGGGTTTCATAAACTTGTGTATGCGAGATATAAATCATGCTGGAAGGATTTTTGCGCAGTAGATATTCTGTTGCTCCCCAGGCTCGGTTTGCAACTGCTGTAAGCCATCACAATGCATAATTTTAAATGTAAATTTTTTTCCCATAATTTACGCATTGCTGTTCTGTTTTTTGGCCGAAGTCTGTATTCAGGTGCAGAAGAGCTCCCCACTCAATGTTCTTGCGCAGGGTGCAAATAGCGTTGAACTAACCTGTGTCATCAAAAGTTCCTGCGAAAGTCTTTTTGTAAGTCATTGTCATTATCCAAGTGATGTAACTCGTTCATATATATATATATATATATATATATATTCGACATACGCCTAGCGCGGTGACCGCATCTGCAATCTGCTACTGCCTTTTAACCCGCGTGCCTCTACACTTTCCGTCAAGTCTGATGGCCGATTTAGCGTGTAGTTCGTCCAAATGATTGCACGTCGCAATCGGCCATTGATGGACATGCAAAATTAACTGCAATCCAGTAAAATTTCACAACAGGCAAGGACACTGCAGTATGCGTTCAGTTCGGGCGCTCAGGACATGCCATGGGTGAATTCTGCAAGCCTTTCTATTATTCCTTGATATGCGGTCAAGCCGAGGGCATGAAAACCTTTGCCGCATTTACGTCCGATGTTTGCCTTGACGTTTTGAAATAAAACAGGCTTCAGTCTTCCAACTACGTGGAAACCGCCGCTGTCGGCGCTGTTGGTCACGCGGGCACGACGTGTATGCTGATGCCTGTAGCTATCCGCCTGAAACCTGTCGCGACGTGCTAGGAGAGGTGACTTGGGGGGTTGTCAACTGACGGGGAAGCTCGGTCCCCGAGGTCAACACTGTTTACATATACGCGCTAACTGGCAGGAGTATTTAGAGTGGCCTTGATAGTACCCTCACGTGGGCGAGATTCGAGATGCCCACTTTTGGTCTGTTAGAGAACGTCCTACGTTCAGCCGTCTTCACGGTCAGATGAGTCACGACAGCGCATATGATCGGCACAGTCGATGTTCATCCGTCTGGCTCAAATTCACTGATTTATTTTATTTTACTTGAATTGTAACCGACGCATTTATGTTACCTCCTTCTTTAAAGACAACTCTCTACTCAGCAGAACGTGAGCTCTGCCGTGGCTATGGACAGGCAACATGCCGTGAGTCACCAAACCAAAATTACTCTTATGTAAATAGGGCAGATGGAAGTCGGTCTCTCTTACCGATTGTATGCAGACAGTTTGTATGTAAACACGAACTGCGTGTCTTTTTTGACTCAACGGGGACACTACAGAATTGGGCTTCTGAAACTCTACATTAATTTTTTTCTCATGAAAGCCTTAGTTAGGAGGTTTGGTGATCTGAGAACAATTGCAAAGCCCTTATTGATTGATTCACAAGGCATTTTTCTGTCTGTGACCACATTTCAGAAATCGATAAACCTGATGACGAGACAATATCCTACAAGACTACTCTGAACAAGCCTAAAGAAGGACGCTACAGCTTTGCTTACTGCATGACCGGTGGAGACAATGTTGAATATATAATCGACTGGGAGGGCTAATCATACAGCTAAACAGTGTTCAGGCATCGTGCGTGCATTGTTGGGATTTTTCGACACTTTTGAACTCCCTATCTCTTCACGATGAAGGTGAATAAACGGTTTATGTGCATTCATTTTGGTCAGTAGTGTTTTAAAATAAAAATATTTCATAAAATTTTGTGTATTTTTTCTGTCAGGGCGTTTGGCGAGTGTCACACAAAGCAGGCAGCCATGTCGTGGGCGTTCCTTTAGCCAATATTCCCCAGAGGAAACTCTCTCAGTTTTTCACACAAGTCAACTTATTTAACACCAGTAATTTTTAATGAAAGATAAATTTCAGACTTGAAGACGAAGGCAGGCTCGCCGAAAGATGTTTATTTAAGTGCTGACGTTTCAAAGAGCTGGTTCGGCTCTTCATTGTCAAAGCGTAAAATGCACTTCATCGGTCAGAAATTCAATTTAAAGTGACAGTTGTGTTGGCCGGCCTCATGCTGATCGATTTTTCTCTCTCCTCTCGCTGCCTCGGCCTCTGGGGAGATGGTTGACGGGCGTTTTGCCTGTGTGCTTTGAGTCGCCACTCCGTCGAGGGGAACTGATTGGACTTTAGTCGGGCGGTCGGTCTGGCGGTTCTTGTTCTTCCTCACCGAGTAAACTCACGTCGGGCTATCTCCGTGCGGCCTTCTTAAGTCCGGTGTGGTTGTTTGGTCCTGAGCTCTACGATTGTGATGACGTAGGACTTTGTAAGCTGCAGAAAGGTCCAGATGCCTGTTGATAGAGTGGGCATCGGAGAACCACGCCTCGAGAGTTAGCCGTTCTGTTTTTGTGTTGCCTCGGCCTAAGATGGTAGCCCTCTGGAGGTCAAAAGGCATCTGGACCTTCCTGCAACTTACAAAGCACAACAGGCAAAACGCCCGTCAACCATCTCCCGAGAGGCCGAGACAGCGAGAGGAGGGAAAAATCGATCAGCATGACGCCGGCCAACACAACTGCCACTTTAAATTAAATTTCTGATCAATGAAGTGCATTTTACGCTTTGACAATGAAGAGCCGACCCAGCTCTTTGAAACGTCAGCACTTAAATAAACCTCCTCCGGAGAGCCTGTCTTCGTCTTCAAATACTTAACCCGGATATCTCAACTTTGCCAATAATTTTCAGACTTCAATGCCCTTTCGAATAGATCGCAGGCATAAAAATATGCAACGGATTTCAAACTTCTTTTCTCCTAAAGAGCATCTTGCCTATGTCTATATGAATACATTCTAAATTGTTATCAAACGCATATACAGGCGTTAATTATAAGGACTTACTGCCGAAGCATGGAGAGCAACGAGTTGTAGTGCTGCACTAAGAACTCAGATCCTCAATGAATAACCTGCCATCGCTGAACCAACAGTGACCTACCAATCAGTTTGCGCGTAAATGCTCAGTAAGCCATGAGCTCTGCAATCATTATGTGTATACATAGCTCAAATTCCGTCCTCTTGGACAGTCCATTTGTGCACGAAACAATAACAGAAATCATAACTTGTTCTGCTCCGGCGATCAAGTCAACTTCCTTTCGAGAATTTCCGAAGGTGTGTGAAGGTGTCGTAAACACAAATGTCTTCTACCACATACGAACTCTAAGTAAGTTCCAGGAATATCGGAACGGTTTGCAAACGAGCAAGATGATACTTTTGATGTAAATGAGTCACACGAATGGTCAAATAAAGGCGGCGATTGTGAAGGTAAAAGAGAACTGATTGTCCAGGCGAATTTTATCACCAGGGAGGATTAAATGGTCAATCAAACATGCGAAAATACCCAGGTCATTCGAAATGAAATGACAAAATATTATTGCCATGAGGGAAGACTCCCACTGCCTATTTGGGGCAGCACCCTAAATGACCGAAAAGAGAATAATTCGCAGCGTGAATGATGGACGGAATTATAATTGACATTGTAACCGCTCCTAGGTAAATCCCTGCAATCCTCTTCGTCAGCGTACAGGGTTGGCAAGCAGCAGAGTCGATTCCCATGCGTTTTGCTGATCGTGAAAATTTGATGACCAAGGTATGTGTATAATACCAGTTTACGGGCAGTTAGAAGTAGTGGTGGTGGTGGGAGGAGAAGAAGAAGAAGAAGAAGAAGAAGAAGAAGAAGAAGAAGAAGAAGAAAGAGGAGGAGGAGGGGGAGGTGGAGGATTGGTTGGTTTGTGTGCCCTGCAAACGGGCCCCATGGCAGATGTGCTGCACCAACACGGGGCCGATATCGGATTCGGGTAGGCGTTACCGGACTGGCGTATCATAACAAATGCCAGCATTTCCGGGTGCGGTGGTAGACACAGTTGCCGGCAGACGTCGAGCATATTGGACCCCTGCCTCCCACTCATTGTAGTTGTTTGTTAAAATCCTAGGTATTTGCTGTGTGAACCAGAGGGTGCGGAGTGGGACGCCAAGGTGCGGGCTCGATCGTGCCATCCACCTACGCCCCCTCCGCCTCAGGTCTTCTAGACTTTGCCGTGACACCGGGCATAGGTGGGGAGAAGGATGGACTGTGGTAGATGCTGTGCAAGTCTACATCCCTCATAAACTAACGCACGCGCAAGCCAATGGGCTTGTTTTACCTCGCTGTGAAGTACACAGTGGATGTCGTCGGCAACGACGGCCGAACTATCGGTTGGTCGGTGGTGAGCATGGCTGGCTGACGACGACCAGTATGCCAGAAATGGCCATTCCGGTCTTCCTTGTCTTTGTCAGTAGTGTTATTCTGCCTATATCCTGCGCCGCTGTGCGGCTGGTGGTTGGGCTAGAGAGAGAGCCCGAAGACAGAATGGGTCGAGTGAGTCTCGTAAAAAACGATTGATGATCGTCCGTCTACCATTGTATATTCCTGATCGTAACCGACATGAAAGCGAGTCCGTGGTTCAGTGGTTAGAGGCGTTGTACTTCTAACCAGCGGGTGTCTGGATAGAGGTCTGGGTGTTCCACAATTGGGGGTTGTGTATGGCGGGTTGACGACGGCTTCTATGCCAGAAATAGCCATTTCAGTCTCCCTTGTTTTTTGTGGGTAATCCTATCCTGCCTATATCATGCGCCGCTGGGTGGTGGGACCGTTGTGGTGGAATTGGGAAGTGCTGTGCAGGATGGTGGTCGTCGTAGGGGAGGGGAGGGAAGTTGGCGCAGCATTAGTTCGCCAACTTGTGCGAAGCCAGTTTGTGGTGTCCTTTCCATGTATTCCGTGAGCCACTAAAATCTTCGTTCGTTTCGCCGCATTCAACAATCCAAAGAAACAACAAATTCAAAAAATATCGCAGATCATACATCTCAGTGCAAACTGCTCTCTTACTTGCAAACTTCTCCTTAACCGAGGACACATTCGTCGCACTTTCTGTTCCCTCGTGCCTTTTTGACTGCAAACATGTCCTGACAGACGTTTCTGCAGTTATACAGGGAATCAGGAGTGATTTTCATGGGGTTAATATTCGCAGCGGTTGTACATTCCTCTCTATTCAAAGTGATATCGGGTCTGCCCGGCAGGCCGATGACAGTTTAATTATCAATACACAACTGCCTCTACCCGGCCTATTAACAAATCTGTATGCAGACCACGACTAAGACATTTTATCGACTTATATTAATCTATTAATCTGTTGTGTCAATCTGTTACATCAATCTGCATCAGTTTATTGTCAAGAAAAGCAGCGTTACTTTTATTACGTAGGCGATTTTTGTTGGGAGTTTAATAAAACACACAAGTAAAAACAAATCCGACTCCGACATAAGGAAATCTAAAGGGCCCAACAAATTTTAATTCCCCTGTAGCAAAACAGATAATCTGCTTCAAGCAGGTAGGTTCAAATCTTACGTGTTTACTGATGGCTATTTCGTCCTGACCGACCAATTAAGATATTGGACACTGGAACTAACCTGCACGTCAATCTTTGTGACACGGAGTCATGTTTCGCCATGATATAATAGGCATTCTATAACTAAAGATTTCCGTCGACCGCCTACCTAACCTGGGCGGCGTGGACGACCCTGTGACCGCACATAACATACAGAAGACAATGTACCCATAAAAAACCAATCTCAGTCATCAAAATCGGTCTTAATTCCAACTCCGTATGTACAGTCGGTGGGCCAACTCATAAAATCTCAACAGAAATTCCGAAGTGCATTTTTGTTTCGAAAAGTCTAATTAAGTATGGTTGTAAAGCCAATAATTGTGCTACACGATTCTTTAATTATTTCGTTACTCCAGAACGCCCGTTTTCGAACAAACTTCTTGCCGCCTGCGTATGAAAGCCAGACTCCGTAAAAAATGAATAATTAAGTAGCGCGCATTTCCCTCATTTGCTTTAGATGCCCTTGAAGATCCAATTTCATGGAAAACATAAATAAAAATGAGCTGGAGCCGACAAAGACAAGGGAGACCCGAATGGCCATTTCTGGCTTATTAGCCGTCATCAGCCAGTCTTACCGAAGCCCAAGTGTGGATCACTTGAGATTCGAACCCGGGATCTGTGTTTATGGAGTTTGACGCTCTACCATTGGGCCACGGGCCCGTTGTTCTGTCGGTTGTGATCGGGAATGTCAATTATGACAAATGGGCGCTCCTCGATCAGGCTACGGAACATGCTCGTTCCGTTGTGCCTTTGGGGCTCAAAGTAGAACTCTAGAACTAGAAATAAGCCAGACATGGCCATTCCGGCCTCCCTTGTCTTTGTCGGCTCCATCTCATCTATGTCTACTACTAGTCGCTGTGCGACTGCCTGCGAGGATTCTAATATGCACCTCAAAGGCACAACGGTACGAGCATGTTCCGTAGCCTGATGGGTGAGGACCCACTGTCGTAATAAATAAAAATATTTATTATTTGGCTCATTGACTAGAAATTTATGTCTTCTTCGAATTTTATACTCAAAGGAATGGTATAATTTGGTTTTCAACAACTTTACCGATTCCCGAATAATTTTGAACCCGTCCTGTCGTTACAGTTGCATTCAGGGTTTCCAAACTACAGGCCGTGTATTTTTCGC